CTCCCCTGGGCCCCAGTTACCGGGGTCGGGCCGGGCCGGGCCGGGTGGCGGTGCCGGTTGCCGGTTTCCCCTGTGCTGACGGACCCCCTCCAGCTGCCCGGGCAGCAGGGCCTGGCCTGGAGGAGCGGCTCTTCCAACAGGTGCGGGACCACTTCAGCTTTGAGACCTGCGGCAACGAGACCTTCCCGCAGCGGTACCTGGTCTCAGGTAGGTCCCGGGGGGGGTGGTGCTCCCAGCCCCGGCATGGCTGTGGCAGGGCTTTGCTATGGCTCAGGCCTGAATTTCTTTCTGCTTAAGCTTTAACTGCTCCTGCAGTGAGGCAGGGAGCCTCTCTGGTGCGCAGAGAGCTGTGCTGAGCAGCCAGGAGTCAGTTTGAAAGGAGTGACAGCCCTTTGTGAGCTAGTCGTTCCCCCCGATGTTGTCCATATCCTCCTCTCCTTCCTTCAGTTTGTCGTTCTGGCTGTGAGGTTTGGGGTGCAGGCGGGGAATTTGCTTCTCCGGACCAAGAGCAGACTAGAACCAGCAGCTGCATTAGGCTTGCACCAGGGCTGGCTCTGTGCATGTGTGCCTTCAGCTGGCCACGGAATAGAATAGACTATTTCAGTTGGAAGTGACCTACAACGGCATGGGCATTGACCACCTCTCCAGCAAGCCTGTTCCAGTGTTTGACCACTCTCTTGGTAAAGAAATGCTTCCTTTTGTCCAGTCTAAGCCTCCCCTGGCACAGCTTTGAACTGTTCCCACGCATCCTGTCACTGGATCCCAGGGAGAACAGATGAGCACCTTCCTTTCCACATCGCTCCTCAGGAAGCTGCAGAGTAATGAGGTCACCCCTCAGCCTCCTTTTCTCTAAACCAGAAAAGCCCAAAGTCCTCCCCACTCCTCACAGGACATTCCTTCCGGCCCTGTTGCCCTCCTCTCAGCGTATCCAAGTACCTTCACATCCCCCTTAAATTGTGGGGCCCAGAACTGCACACAGGACTCAAGGTTGAGGCCACCCCAATGCTGGGCACCACAGGACAATCCCCTCTTCTGACTGGCTGGTCCCACTGTGTTTGATGCTCCCCAGGATGTAGTTTGTCCTCTGGGCTCCGACCAGCACTCACGGATCCCTTTCTGCAGGGCGGCTCTCTAGCCACTCCTCTCCCAATTTATACTTGTGCACAGCATCTCTTACAAGTGCAACTCTGTGCTCTGAACCGCAGCAAGAAAAACAAATAGTGACACAAATGTTGCAGTCTGTACCCATCATTCTTGTGAGTGAAAATAACCCAAAACATCAACCCAAGAGGAGTTATTTAAAACCCTGCAACTTTAGATAGCTTAAGCCATGCTGAACAATGAGGGCTTCCAGCAAGGACGCAGCAGGGGTTTTTTTTTCTAGCTAAATAATGATTTATCTTCTGTGCAACAGACAGTAAGAGAGAGGAGGGTTTTTTAAACAGCATTTGACTAAAAAGACAGCGATTCAATAACCAGCATCACATGTTTTTCCATCCTGCCTGCTTGGAGGAATTGGGGAGAGATTTGCAGGGAGAGAACAAAGGTGGAGCTGTGAATAGCACTGGCCCAGAGCGCTGCCCAGCCTGGTGCTTGCCTGCTGCTGCCTCACAGGCTGCCTGCATCTGCGGCATCTCACCTTCTTCACATCACCTGTTACTCTGCAGCGTGTTTAGTGCCTGCACCTAGTCATATACATTTCAATAAGTGTGAATTCATGGATCGGTTCAGCCCAAAGATATGGGAACACCAGTGAATTTTGGTAGCGCACCCAAGGCTGAAATTTCACTAATTAAGTGGCCCTTTTTGGGCCACCTGGTTTAAAGCATTGCATAACTTTTATTTGTTTTCTTTTTAAAGTGTTCAGTTTTATATGTGTGTCCAGGGCAGAGTTGAATAATATTTGTGAGAAACAAAACATTAACATTGCAGTTTTGTGGGATTATATAGTTTCTTACTCAAAATTCCTGTGAGTAGTTCCTTTCCCCTCTACTGCTTCTTGTGCAATACAAGACTTTTCAGATTATCAGTGAGAACTTGAAGGAGATTATTATTTCACAACCAGGCATCTGACTGTCTCAAGGTTAGCTGGCAGTTCCCCAGGATTTCAGTCTAAAAATAGATACCTTTTTAAGCAACTTGATTTTTGGCTCCTGTGAATGTTTACTCCAGGAACCATGAAGCATGTCAGAAGAAAAGCCACAGTAAAGATAGCACTTCAGTTTCCTACCTGATACCCAAAGCAAATGCAACACAGAAAGAGAATCAGCTTCTTTGCTAACAAAGAGCAGCAGTTTCACTAATGAAAGGTTTCAAACCCATTTCCAAGCCAAATTCTGCTTTCTCAAGTCTGTGTTGAGAATGCCAAGAATTAACTTCAACCTTTCTGTTAATGGAAATGGCCTCGTGTGACACGGTGCAGCAGCATCTGTAGGACAACTGCTGTTGGAGGGTCCCTTTGGGTGATATGGCAGTGTGTTGAAATCAACACTTAACTGACAGTCCGAGGTCTGTTGTTCAAGAGAGCTATTTATTATCCCTCATAATTCCTCTGCAATTTAAGATTAAGTTAAATGTTTGTTAAAAGTCAGCAGGCATTAAAGCAACTGTTTGGTAGATAAGCAAGTATTGACATCATGGGTCTGCTTGTCCTGCCAGTCTCAATTTGCCTTCAGAAGATGAAGCACATCATCTTCCTGTATCATCATCTATATACATATGTGTGTGTGTTATATATGTAACATACATCAGCATAGCATCAGCAGCACTGTAACCAGCAGGTCGAGGCAGGGGATTCTGCCCCTCTACTCCGCTCCGGTGAGACCCCCCTGCAGTGCTGCATCCAGCTCGGGGGTCCCCAGGACAAGAAGGACATGGAGCTGTTGGAGCGAGTCCAGAGGAGGCTACAGAGATGATCCGAGGGCTGGAGCACCTCTGCTATGGAGACAGGCTGAGAGAGTTGGGGTTGTTCAGCCTGGAGGAGGCTCCAGGGAGACCTGATTGTGGCCTTTCAATATGTAAAGGGGGCTTATAAGAAAGATGGGGACAGACTTTTTAGTAGGGCCTGTAGCGATAGGACAACAGGTAATGGCTTTAAACTAAAAGAGGGTAGATTCAGGCTAGATATAAGGAAGACATTTTTATTATGAGAATGGTGAGATACTGGAGAAGCTGTGGATGCCCCCTCCCAGGAAGCGTTTGAAGTCAGGCTGGATGGGGCTTTGGGCAACCTCATGTAGCGGAAGATATCCCTGTCTACGGGAGTGTGATTGAACTGGATGACCTTTGAAGGTCCCTTCCAACTCAAACCATTCTATGATATGTGATTCACAGCTTGCCTCTACGTTATGCATCACAGTGGCAGAAAGATGCAGGTGATTCCCTAAAGTCCATTTTGTGGAAAAAGTGATCTGTGCAAGTGTTTTGGGATGAGTTGGGCTGAAAAGGGTATATAAATGGGAAATCACACTTTTGGGGGGCAGCTGTTTCCAAATGCCTTGCAGAACTGAGATTTTAGGGGGTTTTCGGGCAGAAGTGGAAGTTCCAGGCCATCTGCTGATCTCATGGAAGCTCTTATTTACCCCCTCTCAAATGAGAGATTTCTGTAGCCTGGCCTAACACCTTTATTCCCCAGCTCAGGTCTCAGGGATCAGCTTGTTCACAGAGTTCTTCCTTGATAAGCTCCTGCCCAAACTTACCAAATGTAGAATCATTTCATGCTCATATTTTTTGTTTTGTTTTTTTTAATTTGCTTCTGGCAATTGTCTCAGCAAAGTTCTGGAAGAAAGGATTTGGACCTATCTTTTTCTATACTGGCAATGAAGGTGACATCTGGACTTTTGCTCAGAACTCTGACTTCATATTTGAATTAGCAGAGGAACAGCAAGCACTTGTGATTTTTGCTGAGCATGTGAGTATTTTGGTCATTATGCATACTCTAGAGCCTTGTTCTCTTCGGTATTACCAAAATCAGCTTTCTGGGGGTCTGGAAAAATAAGAACATTTCTTACTATGAAGCTGAGGTATACCTGCTGTAAGCTTTCTCCTCATGGTAGCAGCTCTTCTTTACTTAACCATGGCTTCTGATTTTTTTTTTTAATATGCCTACCAGCAATCCAGGATACAGGCTGCTCTTTCAGTAAAACCTATGCCATGGTGTATTTGCTTTAGACCAGTGCTTTTGTAAGTAGTTTCCATGGGCCTTGATCTTCACACAGGACTACAGAGTTATTTTGTTTGGATAATATTTAATCTCTGTAGCCTGCAAAGTCCCAAGCCAACCTTTCCGACACACTCTATTAAATCTATTATTCCACAATTTATGCAAGAAAGGATTACCCTGTTCCCTTTTCTAGTTGGGGATTTCAGGAGAGATGCATGTCAAGGGCCCACTCTGCACCCACCGAAGTAGCTTGTCATGGACTGTCCATCCTCTACACGATGTGTCCTAAAGGTCTCACTTTATCAGATGGAGGAGACAAGGCACTTCCTCAGTTACGAACAAGTTGAAGGACACCACGTGCTCTATTATCGCTTCCTGTTTGTGCACACTTATCCCAGCTCTATAGTGAGAACAGAGAAGACCCAGACCTTGACACCCCCATTTCCTCAGCATATCTTTTTCTTTTCAGAGGTACTATGGGAAGTCTCTTCCATTTGGACTTGAGTCAACACAGCTGAAGAAAACTGGTCTGCTTACCGTGGAACAAGCCCTTGCTGACTACGCAGTGCTAATTACTGAGCTTAAGCAGCAGTACGGTGCTGCAGACTGTCCTGTCATTGCTTTTGGAGGCAGGTAAAGGTTGTGTGTCCTTCCCTTCTTTACATCCTTTCCCAGCCACAGTTGTGCTGTTCTCATAGATCTGTTTGGCTCCCAAGCAAGTTCTAAAGGCAGAGCTTTAAGCTATCCGATAGAGAGCAGATGTGCATGAGCTCCCAAGCTCAAATCACCAAGCCCTAATCAGCTCTTCCATCAAGAATTAGTCTCAATTTGTGATAGCTTTGGAGAAGCACCACTGACTGGATATTTCTAGGCATCTTCAATGTAAGAGTCATCCAGAACTGCAGAAAATGAGAAATTCCTCCTGCAGGATAAGAACATTTTACATTGGAAATACAGAAAACTAGTAAGCGGTAAAATATTCTTTCCAGGGGCCACCCAGCTTTTTATTAAACAGCCTCTTTAACAACATCCAGCTATTTTCATTGTAGACTCTTTATAATTCTGCTTTGCAACCTGCTGCTTGGTTGCGCCTTGCTTCCTAGCAGAAGTCCTTCCCCAAAGTGTTTGCTCTGTTGCAGCTGTGTGATGTCCTTGTCTCTTGACTGGCTCCCCACACTTGTATTAGAGGGATGCTTCCCTTTAAAAAGCTTCCACCAAGTACAGGGCTTCTAATTCATTGCAGTGAGCTAAAAAGCATTTGACCTGACAGTTATCATTAGGCTTCCAGCTCACTATGGTGGTCGCTTAACTGTTGATCTCAGGGGTGTTTGTACTGTGACTGTCGGGACAGTAGCTAGTGTGAAAAGGGCCAGGAGCTGTCCTGGGGTTCAGCAAGACCTGCTAGCTGGGCTGCATGTCACACTACAGCTCTGTGTGTGTAAATCAGAGTTCAATTTGCCACAGCCCTGAACAGCACTTAACCCACATGAAGATTACTGAAATACAGCGCAGCATTTTCTGTGGGGAAAACAGAACAAACCCCTCTTCTGTTGCTTATAACTTTGCCGAACTTTAACCTGAAATTCCTTGTGGCAGGTTTCAGCTAATGCCTGTTTCCAGGACCAGGGTTAGAGAAATGCATATTGCTTTACACGTGGGTGATGTAGGAACGGTATTTACCCCAACCACTTGAGGTGGTGGGGAGGGAGACTGGAAATCCTGTAAGCTTGGAGTTAGACTGGGTGTTACCTGTGTTTTAGGTGTGTCATTTGCCACCCTCAGGAATGACCTCAGAGTAACTCCTTAAACATTGGCACATGAGTAACTCTTGTCACCTTGGGTTTATCTAGCACCCCTTGATATATCTGCAGATTGTGGCCCTGGCACTGAAGGTGGCTTTGAGTTTTAGTGTGGTATTTGTTCATGTCTCCCATTCCCTATAGGTGTGTTGATACTCTCTGCAGCTGTTATTTAGGGTGCCCAGGGAGAATACTCTCCACCTCCCAGCACTAGAGAGGGTTGCGTATTCTGTAGTGTTCAGGGACACCCTTTGCTAAGAGCCTAGCTAGTCTTTATAATCCATGCAAAGTGTGTCTCCTTCCCCCATTGAACGGTGCCACTTTCACTCGAGCCCCACTTGGTTCTGCACAGAAGCTCTCAGGATACACTGAGGATAGTGCAGAGTTAAATATTGCAGCAGGATTTACATTTGGCTGCTAAAGCAAACTGGGCTGCTGTGTTCCCACCAGAGTTGGTGCGAGCGTTTGGGGAGAGGCCAGTGAGAACACACTGTGTGCTGCTCATTGACCATAACTGGATCTTTTTCCATGAGGATGGTATCAGCTAGATATCCATATCCATTCTTGTTGCCTTGGATTAGGTGAGCCTGTGACTGCTGGCCTAAACTTTTAAGCTACTGTGTTACAAGTTATCTGTTAAAGGAAATAACTCTTTTGTGTCTCCTGCGGCAGCTATGGAGGAATGCTGAGTGCTTACATGAGAATGAAATACCCAAACATTGTGGCCGGAGCATTAGCTGCCAGTGCTCCTCTGTTGTCTGTGGCTGGGCTTGGAGACCCCACCCAGTTCTTCAGAGATGTAACAGCAGTAAGTAGCATCTCTTTTCAGGAGCGTTATTTTCTTCCTTTAAGAAGGCTGGATTCTTTTCCGTTTCCATGTGTTTAGACTGACATCTGTCTTCACAGCATCAGTGCTGGACAGGGAATGCAATGAAATTGGAACCCTCAAGGAAAAGCAGTAGCTGCAGAGGTGATGGCTGAGCACTGCCTAAGCTGTGGCAGCTCAGGGCCCAAAGATGCTGCTCTGATGAGCAGCACAACTTGGTTCCAGCACCTTTAGTACCACTAAGGATTCACTTTCCCATTTCTAGTGACTTGACTATATGACACCCTGAAAGTTTTCCTTGGTACCTGGCTGAACCCCCTTTGGATGATTTATCCTTCAAATCCCCTCCCAAAATGCTGTATTTTTTATTGATATCAACGATTCACAGCAGCTTCTTAGTCCCAAGATGGTTGCATTTCAATGAAGAGCTTGGAAATCTTCATTTCACTAACTAAAAATATGCAAGGTGTCCTGGGTTAACTTAAAACCAACATTTAAATGTGGCTTTCACGTTTTGAGGACGTAGGACCCATAGGAAGGTGGTATTGCTTAGAACTGACTTACATTTTGTTTGTAACGAAAGAAATGTACTACCTGGTAGCACTGAAATCTTGCGATGGTATCTGTTTTGCCTCTTTGACATGAATTTCTAGATCTGGGCAACACAGATGGCTTTGCATGAACTGCTTGTGTATGAAAGTTGTGGTCTTTTTGCTCTTATTTACATATATGAGAACCTTATTTCAAGGGAGAGACTTACAGGACAGATAGCATTACCACTAAGTGTAGAGACTATCATATGAACATAAACACAATAGCATTTGAAACTTTAAGTGTATAAGAGAAAAAAAGACATCTTGTCTGAAAATTATACTTAAAATGTATAAATGTATAAAACAAAAAATGTAATACCACATAACCATTTAACAAGCCCTGCAGTGGGAATTCTTTCCTGGTTAAAGCTAATTCCTTCTCAGAAGCCCTGTTCAGCTGATAGCTTTGTCTTGCTTCAGCAAGCTGTGAGTCATTACACACTCCTGAAATTAGGGCTTTGACCTTTAAACATGAAAAAAACTTCCCAATTAATTTTAAAATATCTTCTCTCTGCAGTGGTAAGCCAACCTCTAGGCAGGTACTTTGTGTTGTTTCAAAGTAATTCCTTCCACCTTTAGTGTGTTTGCATAAAAGCAATCTGTGCATCTGAAACCTGAATTCAATTGCTCTTCTTGGTGAGAGAACACCCCTGAGAGCTGTTAATACTAATGAAGGCACAAACCTTTCATAAATCATTGCAGGAGCTCTCTCTTCCTGTGAGTCAGAGTGCATTGTCTCAAAGCAGCTTTCTTGTGACTTTTACTGAGCTTGTTCCAGCTCATTTCATAAGCCTCCAGCTCACAGGGGAAGTGAGCAAAGGGCAGAAAGTTGATTTTGCATAAAGATTTGCATACGACTAGGTTATATGTGCCAACTGCCCTGCTGCTGCCAGGCAGAAAGCCCCTGTGTGGATACTACACATACAACCATGTGCGTGCTTCCCAAAAGGTTACTGCTTCTGGGGCTGCTCAGGCCATCGACTCAGGTCGGTTTAGACATCTGAATTAGGTGTGATTCAAAAGAGTAAAGCTGGCAGCCTGGAGGGGGAACAGCTTTCCTTGGGATGGCTGTAATGCCTCCTGCTTCTGTGACAGCTCAGCTGAGCCGTTGCTGGGTCTGCAGGGGAGAAATGGAATGGGGGGTGGTTCCTCAGTGTGCTGGGCGCTGTGCTGCAGCAGTCCAGCGTTGCCTGGTGTGGAGCTTAGCTGTCACGGCAGCTGGAGCAGACTTGCTCTTCTGTCCCAGGCTGATCTGTCCCTGCACTCCAATTAAAGCCATTAGTAGATGAAGATCAATAAGCACATCCAGAAGGAGATTTGGAACCCTAAAGGGATGCCCAGGTAAACTGTGGAAAACTCCATAGTGATTACTCTAACCTTAACTATCAGACAAAGGCAGAGTTAGGAATAAAAGAAAGGTCTCAGATCTGTTTTGAGTTGAGGCTGGGTCTTTAAGAAAAATGCTTAGCTAGTGATTTGTGGTTATTTAACCATTGCTTTAGCAGGGTAAAGTGATCTTAAAAGAGCCCTAATAATTCTTATTACAAGGCACTGGTTGCCAGCAGATCTCAAACCACCTTACAAGCTGACAGAAGAGAAACAGTTTGGGTTGCTAGAGCCTTCAGTGATAGAAACAACTTTCACCAGTGTAACCAGCCACAGCTCTTCAAACATACCGTAAAGTGCTATTTCAGGATCAGTAATGTTTTTCCCAAGAAAAAGGATGTAGCCTTCTTCATCATCTGGCAGGCTTATGAAGAAAAGCAGGTCTTGGTTCCCAAACCAGTGCTCTGCCCCCCATGCATAACTCCATGGCTTCTTCTCATAGACACAGTGCAATTGGAAGGACTCTACTGTGTTTTTAAAAACAACAAAAAAAAAACCCCCAAAACAACAACAGAAAACTTTGGGGCCTAGCAGCCTGGCACCCATGTCCTGGCCAAGGCATGTGTCTCCTCTTGCTGTTTCACATTCAGTCTCATGGCTCCACAAAGTCATCCCAGTGAGACCTGGGGAAACAGTTGCTGCTTGGGCTGAGCCTGTGCAGAATGTTGGTGTCTGCTGGTTGTCTGGAGGACAAGGCAGAAGCACTGGTGTTGCCTCCCCTGGAGATGCAGATGAGGTTCTGACCAGTGGGCCAGTAACCTCTGTCATCTCCTGGTGCTTCTGGCAGTTCTTCCCAGCGCAGCCTCCACATGTATCTCCTCTGTGCAACCATAATCCCATGCCTTTTCTGTCCCTTCAGGATTTTCAGAAGTCCAGCCCAGACTGTGTCACAGCTGTCCGCAAAGCCTTCCAGCAGATTAAGGATCTGTGCCTCAGTGGAGGTAAGGAGAGACAGCCCTGCAGACAGCATCCCAAGGGCAGCAAGCAGGCAGTCCCAGCCATGGGGAAAAAAGTTGGGGAAAAAAGTTGGTTCAGTTTTACTTCAGCTGGGTCTTCAATTGGTTCAGCTAAATCAATGCAAATGCCCACCTGGCTGCCTCTTTCTGCTTGCACAATTGACTTTTTATTTAATGAACAGTTTCAATTAGCATTAAAATTAGTAACCGACACCAAAATGAAAGCATCTATGTGGGGGCTTGCATAGTGTTCATGAAACCATCTTTTCTGCACCAAAGTGCAAAAACACCTGCAGGTGCAAGACATCTGCATGTTATGTTCATAAAGCCTCATGTTTCACCAGATACTTGTCCTCAATACCCGCACTGTTGAGAACTGTTCAAGGTGGGTATGACAACTGCGTGGCTCAGCTCACTGGACATATCTGAGAAATATTTGGAAGGCAATCTAGGTCTTGAAGCAGCCATTACAGTGTCTTTCATCTCCACCCTTGGACAGTTAGGTGAAGTCACGGACAGAGACTGGTGAAGATCTCTGCAATGCCTCCCAAGAAGGTCAGACCAGATATCATGGGCCAATGCAGCATCTCCTGGGAGCCCCGCATGGTGCTGGAACCGCTGTGGGGGGTTCTTGGCCTGTCTCAAGGCTTGGCTTGCTCTGTGGTGCTGCGCGTCAGGGGCTGCATGCCTCTGATGGCTGCTGTCACTGCCTTGCTGCAGGAGCTGGTCCTGGAATTGCCCAGAGAAGCCTGGGGAGTCCAAAACCCCATTTAGGTCACAGCAGGAAAAATCGTTACCATTAAATAGCCAAGGTCTTCGAGGTCTGCCTGGGGCCACACTTTCTGCAGCAGGGTGGCAAAGGTGGTCACATTTCAGGCTTAGGCTCTCAAGTGAGTATCCAGAGGCAGGTCCCAGGCCTTGGGTTTCCAAGTAAAGACAGCCAGGCTCCAGTGGGCAGCTTGTAGAGTATGATGGGAACGGACAGGAACTGTGACGCCAAAATGTGGAGGATGAAACGAAGGGAGCAGCTTTCCCCAGCAGAAATGTAAAGGTATAGGAGTGTGTCTTAAAGGAATGTCTTCAAAGATGGGTTTCCTGGCTCTAGCTGACTTCTCTGCATCATACTGAAGTTTGAAGACACATCTCAGGAGTTCTTTGTGAAGACTGTTCTCACTTGGCAGTTCTCACTACAAATACACCCAGCTTCC